TTATATAAATAAATATCAGAATTCAATCCAAATAGTGACTGTAAAAGCATAAGTTAATAAGAAAACTCTATTATTTCTACCAATTAATAATCGCAAATTGCATTGCAGACCCGAAGAAGCAACCCTAAAGGGTCAAAATCACGTAAAAATAAAATATGGAAAGACCACAGGACCCCTTTCTTTATTTAATATTTTTTGCCAGAATGGCAATATACAAATAAAATAATACAAATATGAATAAAAAATTAAAAGCCATAGTAATCACGAGGTTTTATTACTTTTGAAAATATTATAGGATTGATACCCAGATAATTACATAGAATTTCATAATCAACAATTATGCCCACACCAGATAGCTTTTTTTGATCGCTTTCTGAATTGGAGTCATTAGTCTTGGGGGTATTACTATCATTGGTCTTGAAAGTGGTGTTATCATTGGTCTTGGAGGTATTGTTGGTCTTGGAGGTGATACTATCATTAGTGCTCATTTTTTGTACCTAAATACAAAAAAATCATAGTAAGTAAAAATTCAGTTTTCTTAGTCTCTATTAAATGATATATTATTTTTAAAAATAGGCAAGTAAATCAAGTAAAAATATATATAAGCAAAAATAATGTTATTGCTAACTTATTTTATAGGTGGGAACTTGCTTTTTATACCGTTTGCTAGAACTAAAAATCTGCCAGAAGAAAAAGTTACATTAGTAATTGTGGTGAGGTAATGCAATCTAGATTTCACCATGTAAAGCAAGTCTACTCGGTTATAAGTTCCAAATGCTGAATCTATTTTGCTATTTTTTAGTTAAAATATGAATCAAGATGAGCAAAATGTAATTGAGAAGAGTTTTGCAAGGACCCAAAATTGGCTATCATCGACTAAACCAGAATTGTTAGCAATTTGGCTAGCATTATTAGTAACACCAAGTAGAAAAAGTATTAAGATTTATACAGACAGTGTGGCAACAATTGCAGGTATAAAAAAAGGAAAAAATATCTTAACAAACAAATAATGGCTAAAGCTAAAGAGTCATGATCTACTACGTAGCATTGTAGAATTAGTTAAAATAAAAGAGATTCAATTAGAATTAGTTAAGGTTAAAGGACATAGTAATAATAGATGGAATGATAGAGCAGATAGTTTAGCTAAAAAAGGTGCTACGTTAGATAATAGAGATAGTATCATTTTCAACCTCCACTTAGATCTAATGTTTCATTATTCTGGGATGAGATATTCATAGAACATCTAGCAAGAGAAATAACTAAGACATTACTTGACTTCAAGATAGGTGTGGACTGGAGAGAATCAAAAGCAATCCAAAAGATTGAACCAGAAGAAGACTATAAGAACAACAATTGGACTTATCTATAGAAAAAAATAGAGAAAAACAACGGTATTAGATGCACAACAATGAAAAGAAGCAAACACCTTGGAACTCTTGTTAAGTGTGCTAATGAGATGCTTCTAGTACTCAGAACGTTATCACAGAGATGCCCAGATCTATATCAAGACTCAAACTGCGTTGTTTGTAAAGAGGAAGAAAAAGAAGATTAAGATCATCTGGCATGCTGTAAAGAACAAGAAAACAATTAGAAAGAGGCTGAAATCTTTGCAACAAATATAGCTTGGGTAGCTCTTCCAGAAGAAACCAAGAAAAGAACTGATAAGGACCTTTTAGAAAGAACACTTTGGGGAGAAACGAAAAATGCGACTTACGAAGCAAGATCCAAAGCAATTAAGGGCTTAATTCAAGAAGACATGATGAAAAAGATACAGAAGACTCTACAATCGGGTAAAGAAGTCAGAACATATGTTGAGCTCACCATAGACACAGTTTGGAATTGCTTTCACAAGAATATTTGGAAAGGAAGATGCGAACGCTTTTGCAAGTGGGAGATCAGCAAAGGGATCCTAACTAGAGATAAAAAACAAAGAAGCAAGCGAATATTAGAGAAAGGAAAAACAAGACCAGAATGTAATGACTCAAGATTTAAAGATGGGGGTTCAAAGAAGAATATTTCTGCAGACAATACAAATAGAAGTCAAAAAAAGAAGGAAAAAGAGAAAGGTTTAAAAAATATAGAAAATCGTTGGTTTAATAGATTTAGAAATCTAATTCAAAATAGCTACAAGCCTTTTTGGTATGGCTTGCTCGGCTAACCTGGTATTAGCTTTCTGATCTCGAAATAATTTTTGGACCAGTGTGGCAGACCGCTTCTGGGCACCCATAAGGTAGCTGGGGAATGTCGGGCCTAAATATTAAGCTCAACATTATGTAATGTATTTATATAATAATCTTAATAAAGGATCACCAGCAAGGTTGCCAAAGTTTAAAAAAAAAAAAAAAAAAAAATATTCAATAAATATTCAATAAATATTAGAATATTTATTTAAATTTTTAAATAAATATTAAATACTAAAAAGATTAAACAAATAAATATTCAAATATATATTTATTTGTTTGAATAAAATCTCTAATTATAAAATTCTAGATTTTCTAATTAATTTTACTAAGAATATTATACAAAATTCTAAATAATACTAACATTATACTTTAAGTAAACATGTTTAGTATATCAAAATACATCTAAATAATATAAATTTATACAATTTAAATAAATTTAATTAGATAATTATTCAAATATCTATGTAAAATTTAAAAAAATTAAGAGATTTATTAAAAATATAAAATACTATATTATATATTATGAAATCAATTATTATAAAACGCACCTATGGTGGTTTTGCACCTATTATATTTTTTTATTATGTTTTTTAAAATTTTTACAAGTTTTATAGATAAAATTTTTAACACCAATTTTTTCACGTTTAAGTTAATATTAAGGTTAGGATTAGGGTTTGGGAAGGGTTTTCGAGGGCATAGAACATTTTTACTTAGAACACCTCACATCGATTAGCCAGTTTTTGAGATAATGTATACACACCATTAGGTGCGTTTTAGTAAAATCCTTATGAAATAATATTCTAAGATGTTAATATTTGTCAAAATTAATTCTTAGCTCTGGAAATTGTGCACCTCAAAATAACGCCCCGAGGGCGTTATTTCGTGACAATACGGTATAACAAAATTTTAAACCTTTTAATTAAATTTATAGAATTATTAACGTTAATAAGAAATTTAAACGATTTAATGGATTCAATAGTAAAAGGCCATATTACGTATTAACGGACATTTTTTTTTTCAGGTCGTTTACTAATTTTATTATTAAATCATTACCGAAATTTAATATTGTCAAGACTATCCGTTATATAGAAATAACGAATATGCAGTATAACGGAACTTTTAGGTCAACCCGATTTCCGTTATACCGATAGTTGACTATAGGGTTGTTAACTTACGGTAATTTATCTGAAAGTTATCGGTACCATGTAACTTACCGTTAAATTTTATAGTAGTTTGCCAATAACTTACCATCAAGTGAGTTACCGTTAGCAACCCTAGTTGATTATATATATATGTATTTAAGTCCATTAATATGTACAGTAGCATGATTACTAGTATCATTACAAGCCTACAAATTATACATATGTTTTTTATAATACTCAATAAAAGTTATAGTACATAGAAATCGTTTCACAACATACATTCTCAAATCGCCCTACAACTGATCCTAAATTCTAAATTTCACCACCGGTGAGAATTAAGGTCGTCCAAAATTAAATTTTAAATTTGTGCTAAACAATCTATTGAAATATTTTATCATCATTTGCTACGAGAGAATCCTCAATAATATTATCTGCATTATTGACAGTATTTATTTTATCAAATGAATCTTCGAACCCTTTAAACTCTCCAAAATCATTACTTGGAGATGATGGTCTTTTATAATTCCTTTGTTTAATTGACGCAGCGGATGGTGGTGGTGGTAAAAGTGGAATGACTAAATAATCAAATAAATAACTGAATAGATGGATTAATGAATAAGTAAATCATTATTTTTTTTATTTTTTTCTAACCTCCAGTTTCTTCAGATAT